AATTAAAATATTTTAATAAAATGAATAATTTATTTATAAAATAGAATAAAATGTTGAAATATTAATAATGTTGAAATTAATTAATAAAATCTAATAAAAGTAATTATTTAAATAATTCTGTACCTTTTAATTATGGATTAAATGTACCCTTTTAAAACTAAAATAATGTCAAAAGGCAAAACATTTTAGAACCTAAAAGTCCTAAAATAGCCATCAGTTTCTTATACATATTATAACTTCTTATTTCTTTCTTTGAAAGAATAACCCAGACATATTCTTGACAGGGTTTGTGAGATTCACTCCTTAGTCCTAATTTAGCTGAATACTAGAAAAAAGAACAACGCTAGCTCTTCCTGATATTCAAAACGTGGCACATCTTGTGCTACTAACAAACAATTCGAATACAAGCTATGAAACATGTACCTAGAGGGGCTTCTGATGGAAAAATCAACACAATTTATCAGAGACGTCTAGGGTGAGTTTCACAGCCTCATTTTCCTCGCCCCAAAAGATTAACCAGGATCTGACATGGCCGTGACGGGCCGGAGGAAAGAGATACTGCAGTGACCCAAAATACCCTGCACAGTCACAATGCATCTGTATAAAACAACTCTCCCGTCCCCTCTGCCCCTCAGTGTTAAGACATGTCAGGCCTGTTACACTGGTAACACAGAGTAAACGCCCTCTAGGACAAGAAAACAATCCCTGCTGGCGATGCACTGACCATCTGACCCAACACACAACGGCCTCTGTCCCTACAGAGACCCTGCCACCTCTGATCTGGCTGTAGGACTGAGGCCGTTGTGTGTTGGCCCAAATGGTCAGCCACTGGCCTTCACCAAACATGGCGGATCTCGTGTTACTCTTTTGTGCCCATAGTGACCTCATTCCTTCAATACATCCACATCAAGTCTGAAATGTTCTGACCCCTGAAATGGCAACACACACAAAGAGTGAGTCATCAGAGAAAAACGAGTTAGTTGCACAGTTTCTTACTCTGAAAGCTTGAGGGAATAGTTCAAATTCTACCAAAAAACAGCCTGTTCCTGTTCACTTGGAATAAAGCGCACAAGCCATACAGTATGGACTAGTTTTATGTCATTTCAAGTTACCTTTATTTCTATAGCACTTTATACAATACAGATTGTGTCGAAGCAGCTTCACAGTATAGCAGAATCAATTATGTAACTCAACTATGCAGATTCTGCTGTAAAGCAGCTCTAAAAGACAGTAGTGTCATTATTTAGCTCAAGTAGGTTCAGTGTTGGTTCAGTTCAGATAAATAACTAATCATGCTGTATGCTTTCATTGTATTGAACGGTTTTGGGTTTGACAGTAAATAATTAGGCATGAGGGTGAGTAAATGAATGTATGTTCATTTTCCGGTGAACTAGTCTTTTGAACTATGAACATCAGAAACCTATGAGAAACACCATAGTCTCTGAAGCTTGCAAACAGCATTAAACATTCGTGTTACAAACATGTTAACATTTCATTCATATTCATTTTCTGATGCTCACCAAGGCTGCATTTATTGGATCACAAATACAGTTAAACACGGTAAAATTGTGAAATATTATTATTATTTAAAATAGATGTTTTCTATATTAATGTACTTTAAACTGTAATTTATTCCTGTGATGCAAAGCTGAATTTTCAGCATCATTACTCCAGTCTTCAGTGTCACATGATCCTTCAGAAATCATTCTAATATGCAGATTTTTTAGGATTTTACACTTTTTTTAACATATCATCATTTTCATAGAAATATTTACATGTATTCTTTATAAATACAATGAATAAATTTGTACATTTAAAAACATAAAATG